GATCAGTAATTAATATTTATCATTAACAGTCATCAACGGCTAATTAACCATCACCGATAATTATCAGCTGGAAACTCATCATCACTAATCATCAATTACCAATCATTGATTAATTCCCGATTGTTAATTAGCTGCTCGGGATTAATTGTTGTCTATTAATTATTTGATAATTACTAATTACTTATTAATTATCAATCATTAACTTTTGGTTAATAATTACTTAATAACCATTACTTGGTTATTGTTTATTAATTATCATTTATTAATTATCGATGACTTATGGGTTATTAATTATTTCTTAATCCTCGATTATTAATTCTTCATTATTGATTGGTTATTAATTATTTATTAATCATCGATTATTAATTCTTCATTATTTATTGGTTATTAATTATTTATTAATCCTCGATTATTAATTATCGATTATTTATGGGTTATTAATTATTTATTAATCATCGATTATTAAGTCTTCATTATTGATTGGTTATTAATTATTAATTAATCCTTGATTATTAATTATTCATTATTTATTAGTTATTAATGAATCTCTATCAATTAATTATTTATTAATCCTTGATAATTAAGTCTTCATTATTTATTAGTTATTAATGAATCTCTATCAATTAATTATTTATTAATTATTAGTTAATGATCGATTATTAATTACTAAAGATTATAATTATGTCTATCGAATAATTATTAATTATTAATCATATATCATTAATTATTAATTATTGATTAATTCTTCATCATTAATTATTGATTGACTGTCGAATATCACCTATTAATTTTTAGTTAATGAATTATCAATTATTAATTGATAATTCATTATTGTTTATTAATTTATTTATTAATTGATTAATTATTAATTATTAACGATTCTCATTTATTCTTTATCACCTGGGGGGCGGGGCATCCATCACACCTGGGGCTGGTGGCACACCTGTGGGGGGGCAGCACACCTGGGGGCGGGGCTTCCGTCGCACCTGGGGGGGCGTGGCACTCATGGCACCTGGGGGGGACCTGGGACATCCATCACACCTGTCACACCTGTCACACCTGAGTCATCCGTCACACCTGGGGGCGTGGCTTCCATCACACCTGTCACACCTGAGTCATCCATCACACCTGGGACATCCATCACACCTGAGTCATCCATCACACCTGGGACACCTGGGGGGCGTGACTTCCATCACACCTGGGACACCTGTGACATTCACATCACCCATCACACCTGGGCACCCATGGCATGGATGGGGCGGTCACACCTGTGACACACCTGTGACACACCTGTGATGCATCTGTGACACACCTGTGGCACGCCTGGCACCTGCTGCATGGCTTGGGTTTCACCTGTGGCACACCTGTGATACCTGTGGCACACCTGTGCCACCTGCTGCATGGGCTTGGGGGGCACCTGTCGCACCTGTGGCTCACCTGTGATGCACCTGGCACCTGCTGGATGGGCTTAAGGGGCACCTGTGGCACACCTGGCACTCCGTGCATGGATTTGGGGGGCACCTATGGCACACCTGTGATATCTCACCTGTGGCACACCTGGCACCTGTTGCATGGGCTTGGGGGAGTGTGGCACCTGTGGCACACCTGTGGTACCTGTGGCACACCTGTGACACACCTGGCACCTGCTGCATGGATTGGGGGGCACACCTGTGACACACCCATTGCACCTGTGATGCACCTGTGGCGCACCTGGGACCTGCTGCATGGGCTTGGGGGGTGTGGCACACCTGTCACACCTGTGGTACCTGTGAGACACCTGTGGCACACCTGTGGCATGCCTGGCACCTGCTGCATGGGCTTGGGGGGGTGTGGCACACCTGTGGCACACCTGTGACACACCTGTGACACCTGTGGCACACCTGGCACCTGCTGCATGGGCTTGGGGGGGGTGTGGCACACCTGTGACACCTGTGGCACACCTGTGGTACCTGTGGCACACCTGTGACACCTGTGGCGGCTGTTGCATGGATTGGGGTGGGCGTCACACCTGTGGTGTCACACCTGGACCCGGCACACCTGTGTCTGTCACACCTGTAGCACACCTCACCTGTTCCACGCCTCTCACCTGTCCCACACCTCACCTGTTCTCTTCACCTGTTCACCTCACCTGTACCGCACCTCACCTGTTCTCATCCCGGCACACCTGTGTCTGTCACACCTGTCCCACACCTCACCTGTTCTCACTTCACCTCACCTGTTCCACACCTCACCTGTTCTCTTCACCTGTTCACCTCACCTGTACTGCGCCTCTCACCTGTTCTCACCTCACCTGTTCTCACCTGTACCGCACCTCTCACCTGTTCGCCTCACCTGTGCCTCTCTCTCACCTGTTGGTTCTCACATGTTCCACACCTCTCACCTGTGTTTCTCTCACCTGTTCCACCTCACCTGTTCTCACCTGTTCTCACCTGTTCCCACCTCACCTCACCTGTTCTCACTTCACCTCAGCTGTTCCACACCTCACCTGTGCCTCATCTCTCACCTATTCTCACCTGTTCGCTCTCACCTGTTCACGTCACCTGTTCTCACCTCACCTGTACCACACCTCACCTGTTCTCACCTGTTCTCACCTGTTCATTCTCACCTGTTCTCACCTGCGTCTCTCTCACCTCACCTCACCTCACCTCACCTGTGCTCACCTGTATCTCTCACCTGTTCTCACCTGTCTCTGTGACCTGTTCTCACCTGTTCATTCTCACCTGTATCTCTCACCTGTTCTCACCTGTATCTCTCCTGTTCTCACCTGTTCTCACCTGTGTCTCTCACCTGTTCTCACCTGTGTCTCTCACCTGTTCTCTCCTGTATCTCTCACCTGTCTCTCTCACCTGTTCTCACCTGTTTCTCTCACCTGTATCTCACCTGTTCATTCTGACCTGTATCTCTCACCTGTTCGTTCTCACCTGTTCTCACCTGTTCTCGCCTGCTCCACCCATTACGGGGAGGGGGGATGGGCTGAAGGGAGGGGGCACCTTACCTGCGGCTCACCTGTACGGCGGCTACCTGGAGCTGCGCGGCGCCTTCCCCGACGCGGCGCCGGCGCGCTCGCTGTCCCCGCCGCGCGCCGCCGCCCCCCACGCCCCCGGCAAGCCTTTTGGGGCGAAACCTCTGGCTTTCTGGAGCAAGTTCGACGTGGCCGACTGGCTGGAGTCGCTGAACCTGGGCGAGCACCGCGCGCGCTTCCTGCACAACGAGATCGACGGCACGCACCTGCCCGCGCTCACCAAGGAGGATTACATCGACCTGGGCGTGACGCGCGTGGGGCACCGCATGAACATCGACCGCGCCCTGCGCCTCTTCCTCGAGAGGTGATGGAGCCGCACCTGCGGGGCGGCGGGGCGGGGAGGGGGGCGGCCGCGGGTGGGAGGGGGAGACCCCCGGGTACCGGGGAGAGACCCTCGAGACAGCCAGGTACCGGGGAGAGGCACTCAGGTACCGGGGTGAGACCCCCAGGTGTGAGGGAGGCACCCCCAGGTACCGGGGAGAGACCCCCAGGTGTGAGGGGGAGACCCCCGGGTACCGGGGAGAGACCCTCAGGTGTGAGGGGGAGACCCCCAGGTGTGAGGGAGGCACCCCCAGGTACCGGGGAGAGACTCCCAGGAATAAGGGGGAGACTCCCAGGTACCAGGGAGGGACCCCCAGGTGTGAAGGGGAGACAGCCAGGTGTGAGGGGGGGACCCCCAGGTACCGGGGAGAGACCCCCAGGTGTGAGGGGGAGGCCCCCGGGTACAGAGGAGAGACTCTCAGGTACCGGGGAGAGACCCTCAGGTGTGACGGGGAGACCCCCAGGTGTGAGGGGGAGACTCCCAGCTACCGGGGAGGGACCCTCAGGTACCGGGGTGAGACCCCCAGGTGTGAAGGGGAGACCCCCAGGTACCAAGAAGGGACCCCCAGGTACGGGGGAGAGACCCTCAGGTGTGAGGGGGAGACCCCCAGGTGTGAGGGAGGCGACCCCAGGTACCGAGGAGAGACTCCCAGGAATAAGGGGAAGACTCCCAGGTACCAGGGAGGGACCCCCAGGTGTGAGGGGGAGACCCACAAATACCGAGGAGGGACCCCCAGGTAGCGGGGTGAGACCCCCAGGTGTGGGGGAGGGACTCCCAGGTACCGAGGAGGGACCCCCAGGTGTGAAGGGGAGACCCCCAGGTGTGGGGGTGAGATCCGCAGGTACCGGGGGGAGAGGGGGAGAGGGGGGAGGCGAGTGTGCAACGGGGTCCAGGTGTGCAACAGGATCCAGGTGTAAAAGCGGGTCTGAGTGTGCCACAGGACCCAGGTGTGCAACGGGATCCGAGTGTGCAAGGGGATCTCAGTGTGCAACGGGGTCCAGGTGTGCAATGGGATCCGAGTGTGCCACGGGATCTGGACTTAAGACTGTGGAAGGATCCGAGTGTGCAACGGGATCTCGGTGTCCAGTGGGATCCAAGTGTGCCACGGGATCTAAATGTGCAAGGGGATCCGGGTGTGCAAGGGGATCCGGGTGTGCAACGGGACCTGGATATAAGGCTGTGAAAGTGTCTGAGTGTGCAAGGGGATCTGGGTGTGCAATGGGACCTGGATATGGGGATGTAACGGGATCCGAGTGTGCAACGGGGTCCGGGTGTGCAACGGGATCTGAGTGTGCAACAGGATCTGAGTGCGCAATAGGATCCAAGTGTGAAACGGGATCTCAGTGTGCAACGGGGTCCAGGTGTGCAATGGGATCCGAGTGTGCCACGGGATCTGGACTTAAGACTGTGGAAGGATCCGAGTGTGCAACGGGATCCGGGTGTGAAACGGGATCTCAGTGTGCAACGGGATCCAAGTGTGCAACGGGAACCAGGTGTGAAACGGGATCTCAGTGTGCAACGGGATCTCGGTGTCCAGTGGGATCCAAGTGTGCCACGGGATCTAAATGTGCAAGGGGATCCGGGTGTGCAACGGGATCCGGGTGTGAAACGGGATCTCAGTGTGAAACGGGATCCGAGTGTACAATGGGATATGAGTGTGCAATGGGATCCAAGTGTGAAACAGGATCTGAGTGTGCAACAGGATCCAAGTGTGCAACGGGATCTGAGTGTGCGACGGGATCCAAGTGTGAAATGGGGTGTGGGTGTGCAATGGGATCTCAGTCTGCAGCCTGGTCCAGGTGTGCAACAGGACACGAGTGTGGGGCGGGATGTGGGGCTGCGATGGGATCCGAGTGTGCAACAGGACCTGAGTGTGCAACGGGATCTGGACATGGGAATGTAAAGGGATCCCAGCGTGCAGCTGGATCTGAGCGTGCAACGGGATCCGAGTGTGTAACGGGATCTCGGTGTTCAAAGGGATCTGAGCGTGCAACGGGATCTGGACATGGGAATGTGATGGGATCCGAGTGTGCAACGGGATCTGAGTGTGCAACGGGATCCAGGTGTGCAACGGGATCTGAGTGTGCAACGGGATCCGGACATGGGAATGTGATGGGATCCGAGTGTGCAACAGGATCCAGGTGTGCAATGAGATCCAGGTGTGCAACGGGATCTGGACATGGGAATGTGATGAGATCCGAGTGTGCAACGGGATCCGGGTGTGCAATGAGATCCGGGTGTGCAACGGGATCTGGACATGGGAATGTGATGGGATCCGAGTGTGCAACGGGATCCCAGACTGAAACGGGATCCAGGTGTGCAACGAGAATCTCGTGTGTAAAGGGATCCGAGTGTGCAACGGGATCCGAGTGTGCCCTGGAACCCGATTGTGCAAGGGGGCCCGGGCGTGCAAGGGGGCCGTGGCGCGGGCGCGGGGCCGGGCGTGCGGCGGGAGCTGAGTGTGCAACGGGACGTGGACAGCGGGCGCCGGGACGTGGACGTGGGCATCCGCTGGGACATGAGCGTGCAACGGGAGCTGAGTGTGCAACAGGAGATGGACATGGGAGCCCGGCGGGATCTGAGCGTGCCGCGGGAGCTGAGCGTGCAACGGGAGCTGGACTTGGGCGTCCGGCGGGACCTGAGCGTGCCCCGGGAGCTGAGCGTGCAACGGAAGCTGAGCGTGCAACGGGAGGCGGAGGCGCAGAGGAGGCTGAGCGTGCAACAGGAGCTGGGCGTGCTCCGGGACGTGGAGATCCAGAGGAAGCTGAGCGTGCAACAGGAGCTGGGCGTGCCGCGGCGGCTGGAGATGGGCGTGCAATGGGAGCCGGGCGTGCAACGGAGCGCGGAGATGAGCGTGCAACGGGAGGCGGGCGCGGAGTGGGAGGCGGGCGTGCAGCAGGAGGTGGAGATGAGCGTGCAACAGGAGCTGGGCGTGCAAGCGGCTCCGGGCGTGCGGTGGGACGTGGAGATGGGCGTGCAACAGGAGCTGGGCGCGGGCGTGCAAGGACACGTGGGCGTGCAACGGGAGCCGTACGCGCCGCAGGACGTGGAGGCGAGCGTGCAATGGGAGCCGGGCGTGCAAGGGGAGCTCCTGAGCGTGCAACAGGCGGCGGAGGCGGGCGTGCAACAGAACATGATTGTGCCGGAGGCGATGATCGTGCAAGAGGCGATGATTGTGCAACGAGACCTGAATGTGCCGCAGGAGCCGGGCGTGCAAGAGGCCCCGAGTGTGCAACGGGACCCGCAGCCGGGCGTGCAAGAGCCCCTGGGCGTGCAAGGGGACGTGGGAGTGTGACCGGGCGTGCAAAGCGGGGGGTGGGTCCCCCTTCCGGGCCGGGCACGCGCGCGTGCGAGGCGCGCAGGCGCGGGCGGGGGTGACGGCGGCCCCGTGCACGCGCGCGTGCGAGGCTCGCACGCGGTCGCTCTCGCGTGCCCCTTGCACGCTCGCACGACTGTGACGCGCTCACGCGCGCTCCTTGCACGCTCACAGCCCCTCTTACCCCGCCCTTGCACACTCACTCGTCGCACTCAGCTGCCCCTTGCACACCCACACGCGCCCCTTGCACACTCACACCTCACTGCTCCCCCCCCTTGCACACCCACACGCGCCCCTCGCACACTCACGGGGCTCACGCTCACCCCCCGTCCCTTGCACACTCACTGCGGCCCCTTGCACACCCTCGCACACTCGCGTGCCACACGCTCAGCCCCGTTCAGATCACTTTCTGCAAGACTTGTGGCCCTGATGTTGGCCTAAAACTTCACAGTAGCACCAGTGCGGAGACAGGGATTATTCCCCCAGCAGCATTTTCAGAGGCCCAGGGCTGAAGAATTCACACTTTCAACTGAGGTCAGGCACGATGGTCGGTTTCCATTCGGTTTCCATTTGTGTTGCAACATACCCCCTCCTCCCGCGCAGCGGCTCGGGTGTAATTACGGGATAATTAATTCAGTAATTAATTAACGAATTCATTAATTAACGGACCGACGCCTTCTGGAATTTTCTTTGCGGGGAATAAGGGAATTTCCCCTCCCCCCCCCCACCCCCCAAAATGAGCGCGCAAGGGGTGGGGGAGGGGCGGGCGGGCGAAAGGGGCGGGGCTCAATATGCTAAAGAGGTTTGGGAGGGGGTGGGCGTGGCCAGGTGGGCGTGCAAGGGGAGGGGCTTTGCACGCGGCCCCCACGTGGGTTCACACGCGCGTGCGAGGGCGGGGCCTGACCACGCCCCTTTTCTTGGTCACGCCCCCTTTCTTGACCACGCCCCCCCACCAACAGCGCCCCCTGGCGGCCCGGAGGTGTCTGCCGCAGGTGAGTGGGTGTGGCCACGCCCCCTTCTTTTGGGGGGCCACGCCCCCTTCTTTTCCACGCCTATTTTCTGGGCCACGCCTTCTCCTTATTGCCACGCCCTTTCATTTGGGCCACGCCCCCAACACCTCCTACAGGGATCGCCCCCCAGACCCCCC